AAAGGATATTATAGGTATAAATAAATCTAAAGTATTTACTATTAAAATTAACATAAGATTTAGAAAAATAGGATAGGAAAAAAAGAAAAGATTTAATTGTTTCTAATTTCACATTTCAAATATTTGATTAATTAATACTAAAACAACATGTGAATGCTGGAATCGATCCGGTGGCACTTTACTTGACCACTGGAGGCGATAACCATTGCGCCAAGCGCGCCGTAGATGAGAACATCGAAATATTGTATATCATTCAGTAACATAAAAATACAATGAGAATGCACTATATTTATATAAGTATTGTATTGCTCGATCGTTCATTATTTTTGATTTCGATTTATTCAAAGTTTGTTATGAGTATTTTTATCTTTACCCTCGTTTTTATTTAAACTTATTTACTAAAATATTACGTATACCGACACAAAAATGATATGTAATACCAAGACGTGTATGATAGAACGATAGTTTCTATACATATCTATTAATATGAAATTACCCACACATGTTCACTGTGTAAATGATAGTAATGTCGATGTGTAGCGCCTCGAACTAATTAGCGGTGCTTTGTGTACATAATGTCCAAATCTCATAATGTCCAGAAGGTGCAAAAAGTTCATATCCCAAAATGTCCAAATCCCTGAACGTCCATGTCCCAAAAAGTCCATATCCCTGAATGTCCATATCCCAAAATGTCCATTTCCCAGAATGTCCTAATCCCAGAATGCCCATGTCCCGGAATGTCCATAATACATACCAGAGTTTCTATTCAACTTTAAATCAAAATCCCTGTGTAAAACAAACATTTGGTAGAACGGCCTAGGCGCTGACTTGAAGGTCCCATCCGCAAAGTAATTTCCAGGCTTTTTCATAAATTTTTGAGCAACCTTAGTAGCAAAAACGAATATTTTTTTGGTATCATCACCACCATCTTTACAAATCAAAAACTTTCTTGCTAATACTTCCGGTATTTCAATGCTGTCCGTACTGTTGTAGTGTTTTAAACTGTCAAATACCAAGCGGTCACCGGTGACCGCAACCTATTGTTCTATAATTGTGTCTGCAAAACCGGTACTCGACGAGTTAATATATTTATGTTTAGGTATTTTTTTCGAGCGCGGTACAAACTTAATAGACTTATACTATGGGCATTCTGGGATTAGAACATTCTGGGAAATGGACATTTTGGGATATGGACATTCAGGGATATGGACTTTTTGGGACATGGACGTTCAAGGATTTGGACATTTTGGGATATGTACATTCTGGGATATGGACTTTTTGCACCTTCTGGACATTATGAGATTTGGACATTATGTACCTAAACGGTATGGAGATGGGGCGGAAATAAGTGGGAAGAGAGGGATTAAAGATTTTGGGAAGAGGTCGAACAAAGGCCCTGCGCCAGAGGGATGGAAAGGTTCCTGAAAAAAGAGAAAAATTTACTATATGGGTTATTGCTGGTAAGATGTGATCTAGTATAGTTATGATCATATCTCGAGAGATATTATCACATCCTACAGCTTTGGGTTTTATGGATAGGATAATCTTTCCGACCTCCGCCAATATTGGGACGCGCCAGACCAGCTATGTATGACAAGATTTGTTGTTTCATTAGGCGATCCATAACAGGGACAGTAGCGAAATGGTTGTTAAGATCGTCTAATCCAATTGTGCTGGGTAGGTCTGGATATAGCGTTTTGCCGATGCCTAGAGTTCCAAGGAATTTCCAGATATCGGCAGAAATAGAGGAAGATATGTTTTCAAAAACATAACGGCGTTTAGCGTCACGTACCATCTGGTTACATCTGTTTCTCGCGGTCTTAAAGGCAGCCCAGTTATCCTTCGTACGATCTCTTTGATGCTTGTGGAACGCACGGTCACGACGTCTTATCGCCATTCTAATACCAGACGTCATCCACAAAGCCGGTGGTCGCTTAATCCTAACTTCCTTGATGGGAGCATGAAGATCATACACGCTAGTTATCACCATGTCAAAGTACGCAATTTTAACATCCACTGAAGATGCTTTTATCAGTGGCTCCCAGTTGATCAAGGAGGCGTCATTCTGGAGTTTAAAATTGTCCATCCGCGCGAAGCAACGCGGGTACAATACCTTGGATCTCACCTTAGGCGGTTTTAGGATATAGGACAAGAAAATTATGTCATGGTGAGAGAAACCCGGAGCGTCGTATTGTCCATGACAAGAAACGAGAGAGGGATTGAAAATGAGGATAAGATCGAGCCAGGAGTCTTCGCCGACTGTAGTGTGGTGAGGTGGGTTAAGCGGTAACAGCTGCAAGCTGCGCTGACTCGATTATATGCAGGAGTTTGCGGGAACGAGGAGAGGCGTGGGACAAAAAGTTGGTGTTAAAATCGCCCATGATTATGTGGTGAGTGTACTCGGAACCCAATGATTCAGTGAAATAATCATTAGTAGGAGGACAGTAGACAACACCTAACACAACTCCCCCCCCCCGGCTACAAACTTCAAGAAAAAGATACTCCGCAGGACAATTGGGAGAAGAAATCACCTTGGAAGAAAACTCACAACGGAGATATATACCTACCCCACTCTCTCTTTTAACAGTATTCTTTCCGTATAAGAATAATAAATAAATAATAATAACTGGACATTAGCAAATAAAAACAATAATAAAATAAATATTTAAATAATAATAAATATACTTTTAATACAGAAGATCGTAAATAGTATTAGGAACAAACGTTTTATTATATGGAAACTATAATGCTTGCTATAATAAGTACTCAGGACAAACAACCATCAACATTATGAAAATAAAAAAGTTACAATTTAGGGACATACAAAAACAATAAAAAAAAGAAGATTAATGAAAGTGCATCACTGACAACAAAACACAATAGAAAGAAAAAAAACACAAATCGACACTATGCCTTCCATTTTAAAAATGTAAGCAAAACTCACGAGTCAAGAGACAAAATGAATAAAACCAAAACCAGAACCACAGACACAAGCAACATTAAACTTTCATGAAACGTCATATTATTATGTCAAGTGTCAAACAGTATTATGATATCATCCGTCACAATCACAGAGATGACCCAAGCTTTGTCAACATAATTTTATTTAGTGTTGAATTACTACCACCAACAGCAGTAGCCAAAATTATTATGCCTGGCACCCTATGCAAATTTATATTAATTCCCCGAGATAAAATGGGAAACCTCTTCTTCCAAACCACAAAGGCTGTTTCTACAACATTTCTAGTTTTTAATGTGATTCTTGCTACAGTATTTCTCCTCTAGTATTGGGACTTCCATCTGGCAGTGGGGTCATTTTTATTTATGCAGTCTGGGCATATCTACTATCACCCAATAAATATTTATTTGGATATTTTCCTTGTACAAAATCTCTTGAGTGCACAATTGTCCCATATGTTCGAATCATGTTCCGACTCATGCCATCTTGCAACAATATTTAAAAATTTTAAATTTGCTGCAGCTACACATTGTGTATTTATTGAAAAATATCCTTTACGGTTTCAATAAATTTCAGCATTCTCCCCTCCTGGTGACACAATATGCACGTGTGTACAATCTATAGCACCAATTACTCTTGGAAATTTTGCAATGTTGTAAAATCCTGCTACTATATTACTTAGTTCTTGTATGAAGATGTGTCTTAAACTCGCAATGGCATGACACACGATGCACAATTCGACAAGCAGTTGACTCATGTACTCCTATCATATCACCACATGTAATTAATTGGCTACCTGTGGCAAAGGAGCGGAAAGTGCACAACAGTTGGTTCATTGGGGTTATAGCAGTTACCCTGAAACAAATAGAAACATGTATAATAAGTAACTATGATATCATTTGTAAAAACACACGACAGGACGGGGATAGAATACTATATATAATTACCTTTCCGCCTTATGCTGTAGATGAGACTCTATTTGCTGTAGCAATATCATCTTAGTTGCTTTTGATAAATGAAAGCGTCTCACGAATTTCGATTCTGAAAGACTTTCAAATAATGCTGATCTCGGGAAAAGGTGCGGTAGGCCGATGTAAGTAGGTACATGAATAATTCCTCATCATCATCAAAAAAATCAAATAAATCAACGAAATCCATTGGTTTTAACGAAATTACTACACAAAAAACAATGATAAGTTTTCTAATCAGACAGCTGTACAACCAAAGGCGTCTGATAAATACGACAAATACGTTAGGCGCGCAAAAAAGCCAACGTGAACGTGGCCCGTTTAGTTAATTTTGACACATGGCTAATTACGTTTAGTAACTTAATTTTTGTTCGTAAATCTAAATTATTTTAGTTTCGTAATTTTGTTTAAGGAGTGCTTAAATGTGATATGCAAATGCAAGCCATGCTTAGGGTGGCTTGTATAACTTCCTCATGCAAGTCAGGGTGGCTTGCATAACATTGTGTTAAAATGGCCTTAAATATTTTTTTTTAATTTTTAGGTCACATGAGATTCTATTATTGCGAAAATATATTACATTGTTTATAACTACATAAATATTTACAACTTAAAATTAACTACAACTAAACTATTAAATAAAATGAAAAACAAGGAAACCACCAAAATTATACCCTCAATTTAGCCATCAAAGTGTTCGTCCGCATCACTAACACAGGGGAACGTTCCCAGGAGACTGGCAGCATTGCCACGTTAAATGGCAATGCTTATTTTCTGTCCGAAGAAACAGAGTGTGCACTGGGATCCCATGGCCCAAGTGTCAGTTAGTTATCTACATTTAACTCTATAAATATGTTTATCCTAAACGCATTTAAGATTGTCTTGCATGAAAGAATTTCAAATGCTATTTAGCTAAACGTGTTAGGCAAGCGAGTAAAATTACTCCAGCGTTTCGTTTTACGCACTTACTTCTTTTTTATTAAACTTGTAGCAACAAAATATTTTTATACATTTACGTAGAAAGGAACTATTTAACGTCAGCAATCTGTCAAAGTCAACGTCAGCGTGGTGCTTGTGATTGTTTTTGTTTTTATTTTTCGCGATAACCGCGTGCTCTTTTAAAATGTCGAAATCAAGTAGAACTCGTGGTCCAAATTTTAACAATAAAGAACAAATATTGCTGCTGGAAGCTGTGAAACCGTACGCTAAAATTATTGAAGCAAAGCAGACCGATGCGGTTAAACAAGCAGATAAGCAGGATGCATGGACGCAATTAGCAGAAGTTTTTAATGCTAATACAACGGACCAACCCCAAGGAGCGGAGAACCTTATAAGTTATTATAGAAATTTGAAATCGAAACTCAAAAACAACACTCTGATGCCAAAATGTTATTAGTTGGTAAGTAATTTATTATATTCAAATTCATATATTCTTTGTTACATGTTGCCAATAGATGTTACATATATTATAATGATAGTAGCATAGTAACATACCTATAAGGTGTACAATAGTTTATGATATTTGGATTATTCTACTAGTCTCAAAATATTACAAAATTTATGTTGCATCAGTTAAATCTATATAATAAAAATATGTCAAGTCATCACCTTACATTACAGAATATAACTGAATTATTACATTAATTTATTAAACCTTGGTCAAATTATTAATAATTATATTAAATTTATAAAACATTTAGTTAACTTTAATTTGATAGACAATATTAATCAGATAATTAGTCAGTGTCAAGTTGTACAACATTGGTCCAAATATTAACATTGGTCAAATGCCTAATGATGAAGCCATTAAATAAAAAAATTCAAAATTAAAATTTATGAATATACAAAAATATGTACCGTTTCCAACTGTTTTAAAGACTCAAATTGACCAATACTTGTAACAAACACATTCATATATAAGTAGTACTGTATTTATTGTTTTTTTTTTCTTTTTTAATTAATAATAAATTGAATTTCTCCACGGACTCCTGTCCATGCCCAAGGGCATGGAGGTCCGTGACAGACAACAGGAATCCAGTCCAGAGTACTTGTCATATTACAAGTTCATAATTTTCATAGTCAAATATTTTTTTTTATAAAGATCTTACATGCTACGCCTACCACTATCACTACACACAATACTTTATGTTGTTACCTAATTATTATAGTCTTATTATCTTAGACTAACCCTACTGAATCAGCCCACCAGCACTATGAGCGAGCCGACCTGTTGCAGCAGAAGGTACTCGTTCACAGATATGATGTGTAGGCCAGCAATCGGTCCGATCAACCATTTCGTAGGGAACAGAACGACCCAGCCCACACTGCACTGACTGTAGAACATTTATGAATGCATGACGTCCCCGCCCACGCGGCAGTTAGCCAATTGCAGTAGTGCTAGTGGTTTTTATTAGTCTTATTAATAAACTTATATTACTTTACATTAATTACATTATTAATTGATACAATTTTTTTTAGCGAACACACCAAAACATGTACACAACAACTCTAATCCATGAATTTTTTTTTTTGATATCTGTTCCTTTTCAGCAATTGTGCGGCTTTACGAACCCAGAGGGGCGCCCACAACCGGCGCATCTCTATTCTTGATTGCCATTTTTAGCTTATAGTCCAGGGTTCCCTGCTCACCCTCACCCAGCGCCCGTCTGATTATTTTGCTGATTGCGTCATCATTTATGTCCGTGTAGTAGACACAACTGTCAGTGTGACGCGATATAGCTACCACGGCGTGGGGTACACTGTCGTGTATCCGCTGTTTCCTCTCCGTTGTGTTCATAATCACCACTGCCGCATACGACAGCCCCTGGTCGTGTATTGTGAGTACTCGTGACCCCATACCCGATCCGTATCCCTGGTTTTTGAGGGATTCCTTTTCTACCTGAGTGTGTACCAGGTATAACGTGTTCGGGGGAGACTTCGGGATCCGCGCCCTTGAAAAACTTTTTAACTCAAGGGTATTTATTGTTTAGATCATGCCCAAAGAAATGTCCTTATAAAATCCATAGAAGACAATGGGAAAGACTGGAATGCTGTGGCCACATGGAATGATCCTGAGCTGCGTGAGAAAGGTTTTGAGGAATTAACTAAGGAAATGCAAAGGAATGAAAACAAACATAAAAGGCACTTGATGGGAATAACACCGCTAAATACGTTTAGGCGCGCTAAATAGCCAACGTGGCCCGTTTAATTTTGACACATGGCATTAAACGATTTTAGTTTCGTAATTTTGTGTAAGGAGTGCTTAAAGAGTGCGTATTTACGTTCCTTATGCAAGCCACACTTAGAGTTATTGTTATTAAAATAACGGTGTACATATATAAAATGAAAATAGTGTTGTACAAATCTATAAGCATACAAAGAGATAGTGAATCATGTCAACGATAGTTAATTATAATAATAGTAGGAGATATAACAAAATATGCAAACTTAAACTGCGAGTACACCGGTGACCGCAACCTATTGTTCTTTAATTGTGTCTATAATGACGGTACTCAAACGGTTAAAAAGATACTTCCTACCTGAACAGTTAACAGATGACAAAGAAAGTTAAAACAAAATGATTTAATTATGAAGTTAAAGCAAATCTGACGTAACAAACACACATTTGATACTAAGAACAATTTACATTTGGTGGTTTTATTATATACCGTATGAATACCAGGCTGATACTTAGCTGCGCTTCGCTTTCAGACATGCGCCAACCTCCTCCGCACCACGCTTGGCACCGGATGATGAAGTGCTTTGCGTCCTTGGGTACTTAGCTAGCAGAGGCTTCAGCTCATCCATCGAAGACTCTTTACACCGCTTCCCATCTGAGGCCTTGACGAAGATTACACCATCCTGTGTCCCGCAAGACCTCATACCGAAGTGCTGTCATGCTTTTGCAAAGACAGACTGCCTCTCACGGGTCAGAAACTCTCTGATGGCAATCTTCGTACCCTTTAATCTGGTTTTTGCCCGCCAGGCTGACTGTTTGACATCCACACTGGCAAACCAGACCAGAAGAGGCCGGTGGTGATCCGCACTGGTCTGCCCCAGTCTGTGTGAAGCCTTGACAGATGATGAGGTGAGTTTGAGGCTCAGGTTTTCATTAAAAATATCCAATGTTACCCCTTTACAGTCCTCACCCTCTTTTTCAGGGACTCCATTTATTCGTGATTTTATTTATTTTACATAAGTACAGATACAGACGACAGATTAAACCGGAGTAGAAGTTTGTAAGGAGTATTTTGCAATGTTCTAAGTGGCAAAGCGCTCACTAAGCGACTTAAATTTATTTAAAAAAATTAAGCGTTTTAGGCCTAGGCATTTGTTTTGTTTCAATTTCTGAGAAAAAATTCCTGATTTTATGATTATGTACTTAAATAAAAACGTACAAAACTGCGAACCACACGAGAACTCGCTTTAGCTCCAATCTCGCGAAATTTGCATTCCCATTATAGTAAAATGGAACTGTTAGTGGATCCAGCTGCCAGAAGAATGTAATACGGTAGCGTGGTATTAGTACGAGAGAGAACCAGACACCGATGTGTAGCCTACATAGTACTTTCAGGGTGTAAACCGACCGTTCCATGTGCGAACAGATCATACAAAGCGAGACCACAATAAACTGGTTTTTGATGACGTGCAGGGCTTATGGCTGACAGGTCGTGACTACTGGCCTTAGCGTATTATAAATCATCATCCTACTTCCTATCTTTCAGGACGAACTTTATTTGGAGATTAAGCTGGGTTCAGTAACTCATAAGATCATTACACACTCAACAAGCGCGGCTCCGGCGCGGCGCAACGTTTATTGCTTAGGAAACAATACAAAAAAAGCTGTAAACGCGCTGTCAGAGCGCGAGCTTTTTTATATTGATGTTAAGGTGGGTACAGATTGGTGCAATGCAACATGTAATGTAATATTCTGCCTTACATTGCATGTTCCCTGCTGCCTTGGACGTGTGGCACGAGCGGTACGGGCATTGACTACGAATCATTCAAGAACATTTGTTCCCGCATTTCGTTACAAAAACTAGCCCTCGTCACACGTGTTCTTTTCTTTGCCCACATCACTACTTAAGTCGATATACACGAATCATGGAGTCTGAAGACAGTCTTCTAGCTCTGACGATTATCAGTGCTTCATTGTTAATCATGACAGTGACTCGTCATCACGCACACACTCTGTGCACACTGCGCACCCCTTTGTGTTCGTACTAAAAACCGACAAATCTCGGATCGAACCGCGCATGAGTTGTAACGCTCAGAGCGTGCGCGACCCAGGCGCAGTTCGTGTGCGCGAGGCGTCCACACTATGGGAATCCTGTTACATTACATGATACATTGCAGCAATGTGGACCTCAAATTCTTGCATTGCATGTTGCATTGCACCAATCTGTACCCACCTTTATGAAATTATGTCATACGACATACGATTTAAAGTTCATACTTAAATGACAAGTAAATAAATGGGTTAGACGCGTGCCGGAATGTACTATGACCTCTAGGCTGTAGTATCTACTCGCTTCACCCTGCTTCTCTGCAGCCCCGACTGGATTATTATTTATTTATTCATAAATACACGCATAATTTTCCAGCGTAACCCAAAACATTACTCGGCTAAAATTAACTTATTTATTACTACTTCACTCTTATGTAATAGGGATATTTAATCTTAATATAATAGTAGGTACTAATAACTATATTTTTTATTAATTTATTATTTTCAGCCATGATCGTCCCACTGCAAGGCAAAGGTCTTCCTACCCTCCTTCCACTCCTCTCTATGTAAAGCTTTTTGCTTTTATACTTATAATTAAAACTAATTACTTAATTCATCAGCTATCCATCTTCTCACAAAATCTTAAACATTCACGATACACATCTTTTCATTTCGCTGCAAATAAATCACACGTTGGTGCACGGACAATCACGATGTCGGGACAGCCAATGGGCGGCGCTATAAGCTGACGTTTGCGCTCCCCGCCACCCCGCCCTTCGAGTATACAAGAGCGGCCAGCGGCCACCTCGGGAACGGCATTCCTTAGTCAGCTTTGCCTGTGCAATCATGTCTATCTGGAGACCATTTAGTTTAGAAGAAGTCAACACTGTCGAGGACGATGAGACGACTCAGACCACAGAGATAGTGGAACCTCTATCGTCGGATTTGAGTGTGTTACGCGTGCCACAATCTGTAGCTGTGCCTGTGTCGGCGGCACAACCGACGCTGTCAACGTACCCGGTATACCCGACAGAGCCAGGGTACCTGCCGCTGCCTCTACGCTATGGAGATGTTCAAGTTTCCTCAGGTGGTAGTTCAGGCTACCATTCCTTGAGTACGCCGTCATCGTCACCCCCGCCTGGCCCACCCGCCGCCGTTTCTGCACCGGAGGCAACTGCAGAGCTGGATCCAGATTATCAGCGTTACGTTGAGGCTGCCATGGCTGCCATAAGAGCTCACCAAGGTGGCACTTTAGTCGGAAATAATCCGAACATGCGTCGCGCTGTGCGGTCGCAAGCGCACGCCGGCACCGCGGCGGAAGCCGACGCCTACCGACGCACGCGCGAGAAGAACAACGCGACGGCGAAGAAGAGCCGCGACCGGCGGAAGCTGCGCGAGGTAGAACTGTCGGTGGAGCTGTCGTACCTGAAGCAGCAGCTGGCGGCGCTCAAGGCGACGCTGCGCTCCCGCGCCTGCACACGCTGCCGCCGCTCCTGTCTGTGCTAGTGCGGACCACCAGCACACACATACACACACACACACATACACACGGCTGTGATACACAACGTTCCTGAACGATGTGCAAATATTTCGGTGCATGACTAGCTTTAAGCAGATTTAAGTGAAATGGTCGTAAGACTTTAAACTATTGACGTGCAATTTATTAAATTGTAAGTAAATATATTTTCTAGAATTTGATCTAATTGTTAGTATAAACACCATTCTTGATTGTAAATTTTAGTAAACAAGGCTACCTACATTATTTTTTACTTATTTTTCTATTTCATGATCTCATGTATACATTTTAGTACTGAGTAATTATTAATAACCCTAAGTTTTACTGTTACTGTCATTACAGGAACCATAATGTTTACAAAAAGACTAAATATACACATTTTGTACAGTAATGTTGTATTTTCCTCACCTCCATTAACTATAATAATAAAATAGAAAATACCCAAAAATAATGAAACTACTATTGCATGTAATTCATTTAATATTGAGCTTAGCTTCAGTACCTACTTTTCTAGTATATAAATAGTATAGTTTAAAAAAAAAATATCTGGATGAAAATAGTCTTGCTCGGTGTTCTTGTGAGTACATATGCCATTATCATAATGTTATTCTGCGTCAGTTTTTCCACATCCGATCAACTGCCACGCTCCATACAAATTTGGTCATTATCAAAACTAAATTACTTAATTCAAACCAGTATTTTTTGTTTATTGATGTTTTCACCAAAACTAAAAACGTTGAATATCTCAGAAACAAGCAACTTTCGGACCAGGTACCAGTTACAGTGAGCTATTTCTGTAGAAAATTAGCTGTAATACAGCAGCAGCAGCAACAGTACTTTACGTATTTGTCGAGTTACAAATACAAGAATTGCTCAAAGGTATTATATAGATAGATAAGTACGATATTTTAAAACGAAAAATTATGACGTCACGACTAAGTCATAAGTACAATAGGTTTAGACTTTCAAAAAGATATTGAATTCGAGTAGTTATCATTTTTCTTAATATTTGTCTTACGAATACTTTTATAATTTTGTCTTACGAGTACCTACTTATAGGACATGCCCCATAGCTGTCACCCGGCGTTTTAGTAAGACGGATGTTCCATAGAGACCGCTTGGCCCGTTCTAGTTTTACTTCATTGAAACCTAAACTAACGAAAGTCTTGTGAGATTTGAGCATCAATAATCCTTGATTGGCCTAGAGTATGCATTTCAGGTCCGGAATCCCTACTTTGTATAGGATAACTTTTGGAAAAGGTACAGCGCCGTTTTATTAAAATACCACGCTCATTGAAACAACATCCGTATGAGGAACGCTTGAACGTTTTGAACTTAACCACTGAAGGATCGCAGCCACCGTGAAGATCTAATTGAGACAGACATACAAGATCTTGAGTGAACATCGTGGCTTTCAAAAGTTCGACAAACTATTCTCACGTGATGAAAATCTTCATCTTAACTCGTCGAGTACCGGTTTTGCAGACACAATTATAGAACAATAGGTTGCGGTCACCGGTGACCGCTTGGTCTTTGACAGTTTAAGAGGCCACCACCTTAAGCTATGTTCAAGCTTCTCAAATAATAACCCTCAGAGACACTTCCTAAGCAATCGTGTGGCCAGAGCGTGCAACAAGTTACCAGCTTGTTGCAAATGTAATCGCAGCAACGCAAAGCGAAATGTTAACTAATTCAAATATAGACTTAACAGACATACGAAATCGAAGTAATAATAATAAACGTAGATAAGTAAATACGATACAGGCCTATAACAGCTGTCTTCACTGCCTGCCTGTCAGAATGAATAATCAAATAATAATAATAAACCTTTGTCAACGAACCATACACAAATTAATACGCGAGTAGTAAATGAAACCGCAGCACAAGTTGAGGTATCAAGTAATATATTATATTGTACTAAGGGCACTAGACTAGGTCGCAACTACACTTTCTGTTTGATCACATGCGGCAGGTCGTACTTGCCGCGCACACACTTCAGCTTCACTCCGGGACAGTCCTTCAACCTGCAATATGTACGCACCTAGTAAGTATACATACATAATCTATACTAATATCAATACATAGTATAAAACAAAGTCGCTTTCGCTATATGTCCGTATGTATGCTTAGATCTTTAAAACTACGCAACGGATTTTGATGCGGTTTTTTTTTAATAGATAGAGTGATTCTTAAGGAAGGTTTGTATGTATATACATATTGCACCCGTGCGAAGCCGGGGCGGGTCGCTAGTAATATATAAAGCTGAACAGTTTGTTTGTTTGATCGCGCTAACGTAAAAGGCGCCTCGAGCGAGTTTGTTTCACGTTAACGCGATCGACGCGTTTATGACGTTCGAAGCTCTGATTGGCTAGCTTTAATCGCGCTAACGTAAAAAAGAACTCGTTCTAGGCCCTCTTATTCTGGTTTGAACTGAATAATTATATTTTTGTATTGATTAGATTACTTATCGATGAAACCTATAGGCTATTAAAAGTATAGCTATCGCGGGTACCGACCTGCCGACCCTGACGAGCACGATGTTGTGTTCCTGCAGGTTGTGCCCGATGCCCGGCACGTACGCCACCATCTCCTTGCCGTTCGAGAGTCGCACCAACACACACTTGCGGTTGGCAGAGTTCGGCTTCTTTGGTTTCTTTATCAGAGTCTTTAGCACTACTCCCTGGAATTGTCAAGTCATGCCATTTATATTACCTATACTATATGCTGCATAGAACAGCTATAATAATATAATTATGTTCGATCAGTCATCAAAAGTTAAGATGGTTTTATGTCTCCTGTACTAATTGAAACAGTTAAAACAAATATTCTTATTCCTATCTGTTCCGCTGGATGGTAAGCGGCCTAGTGGACACCGCAGCCTGAGTTCCTTTGTAATACAAACTGTATCACAATGTAGTAACAAGGCTGTCACAAATGCGTTGCTGACTATGAGCACGATTCTGACAATCACACGGTGGGTTGTGTATAATACGATATATCGAAGTATTAGATACCTTAGCGAATGGGTTTCCATTGAGCGGATTCCTAGACTTTCTTAATTTAATGTGAGGTCCTGTTCTATGCATCTGGTTGAGCGAAGCCATTGCTCTGGACAGTATGCCCAGCGGCTGGAACATTGGCGCCGCAGCGGCCGGCGGCGGCGCGGGCAGCGCTGGAACTACACGAGTGCAACGTTAGTATTAACATTGTACACCACACGAACAATAGTAATATTAGGTCTGTACCTATGATATTGCCGTTCTGCAGTACTGGTCATTTCAAATCAAAATAATTTTGTTTTGGCTAAGAATTCTAATTTGAAATTAATTTGATTTTATATTCATGGATTTCATTTGTATATAGAATGTGAGTACCCTCGTGGCAGCAATGCGGCACAGGTGGCACGCAACATCAACGACGTTTACGGAGCTAACACTACAAACCAACACACCACCTATTTGGTTTGTTCGCTTTCGTTCTAGAAATTTTGACCTGAAAAATGAACCTCGCGGTCCTTTTAATGGTCGACAATGACGAACCAATGGCGATTGTGGAAGCTACCGATACACAATCTACGGCTGAATTAGCAGCAGTTTTCGACGTCAGCGTCACAACTATATCGGTTCATTGGCATCAAATTGGCAAGGTAAAAAAGCTTGACAAATGGGTGCCCCCACGGTGCAATAAACTGCCACTGCGTTGGCAAAGATGCATTGATTGGATGAGTGATTACTTCGATCAATACCTACGAATAAAAATAAGTACATGAAGATAAATCGTTTAAATTTTTCCATACAATATGGCAATTTCATAAGAGACCTACTATTATGTATACCAATTGTCATAAATAGATACAACTTCTTATAAAATACAAGTATTTTTTTTTTAACGGGGGAAAATCATCGAATGACTGCTCCCGTCTGGGTGAGGCGGGAGGGAGTGTCAGACTCTTACTGACTAAAAACCACCACGTTCCTTCTCCTGCACGTCGAGCCGGAGCCCCGGTTACCCGTTAGGTTCTCCGCGACTCCGAATCGGCATCGGCCCTATTGGGCCCCATCTGTGGTGGTCTGATGGCTCTTTGAGGCACGCGCGGAACGCGACGCGCCGTACGCTCGGGTCTGTTTCTGGTCGGACGGGGAGCCACCCATGCTCGCCGTCCGCAGGCCCGCGCTTACGGTGGCCGGAGATCGTCCCGCGATCCCCGACGCCCGGTGTGTCCTTCGCGATGGCTGGGTTGCGAGGAGGCAGCGCTTCGCTGCCTCACGCGTCCCGCCTCCTCCTTAGCTAGCATGACTGCTTCGCAAAAGGAGGAGACGGCATCCCAATCCCCCTCGCTCCGCATCATGGCCTGCGCTAGGCCCGGACGCAAGAGGTCGCCATCGCCGATCACTTCCCTGAGCATTCTCCCACCGTGTGTTCCACTGTGTCCTCAGAAAATACAAGTATACAGTAGCGTCTCCCTACTGCTGCAAATGTAAAGGTCATAATTACACAAACTATCGAACCTAAAAGCACGTGCCATTTAAAAACAACATTCAGACAGTTACATTGTGATACAATAGAAACAATGCAAAAAATATTAACCCATCTTATCTTTGCATACCGTTACGGACCGAAAGGGAATACCTATAATAAAAGGCAGGTGCTATAGGGGCATATTGTTCTACGGGATTATATTTTCAATGAATGTTTGTTGCAAAACTATGGCTAGGGTATTCAGTATGAAAGTGCAAAATCCTCTACAAACCAGAGATATCTGCGGCAAGGGCTCAAATAAAACAGTTATTAGGGTATTGAAGGAGGTTTCGAGGTGTTCCCGTAACACATTGTGTCAATTGTGGGCATTGTGACACCAGTGACCGCAACCTATTTTTTTTGTTTTGCGAACCAAAGATGTCCGTAAGAACGTAGGAGGTACCAACTCCACCCATCCCAAGATCCCATAAAGAATATTATCACCTTAGAATTTCATACAATTTCAGTCAAATTTAAAAGCGATAGAATCAGAGAGTTGAGTAAATAGAAACATCAAGTCATGCAAACATGACAACGGTACAATGCACGCAAGTGTGAATGGAGCGGCCGACGCCAGGGACCGGCCGATGTTGCGGTCAGCGCGGGAGCTGCTGACTCATTGCAACCTCCGCACTACTCATGTGACGTGTGTGGTTGGCAGAATAAGTAGTAGCGTGTGTAGGTTCCACCTCGTTCAATATTACCACAAGGAGTATAGTTATGGTGTTACAGTGTTGCGAGTCTTGCTCAGCCAACAATATCAATAGGTAATCACTAACTCAAACACTCAGAAACAAAAGTACAGTTATCTTGCCCGAAACGTAACACAATATCCTTGTTTCTGCGAACCGTACCGATCCGTGTCCACGCGGAAGGGTTCCCATCCAAATGACAGGCGCGCGACAAAACCCTTGCAAATATTATTGTACTCCAACGGTTCGTCCAAATATACTATTTGTGAGCCGAGGAATTGGGTCGAGTTTTGCATGAGCTCACTAGCTGCACTGTGATGCAGATGTTGATAGTCCGCTATAAGTACTTACTTGACAGTTAGCGTGAGTTCCTATATACACACTTGTATAATGGTA